CTGCTGGCCAACCAGGTCTTCACCCGGGTTCACAGATAGATGTTGAATTTTGACAATTTTTCTTAATTTACTGAAATGATCCTCTATGGCTTTTCTCCTTTATTTTCTTAATATGGTGAATTTACATTGATCAGTTTCGGACTTCCATTCCTAGGATAAACCCCACTTGGTCATAATCTTTACGCTTTTAAAAATATATTATTGGCTTTAGTCTTCTTTTATTTTTATTAAGAATTTTCACATCTTTTTTAGTCTGTAATTTTGTTTTCTTATTGCATCTTGGACTTTGATATCAAGTTAAGATGGCTACATACAATGAATGGAAAAGTGTTTCCTCCTCTTCTGAGTCTGAAAGACTGAAGTCTGGAGCACTGATGGTTTGTTCTTCCTTGCATGTTTGTTGAGTCTTTAAAAAGCACAAACACAATCCTTGTCCCATTGAAACCATTGGCACATGGAGTTTCCTCTGTGGGAAAATTTTGAATAGCAACTTCTGTTTTTCAGTAGAATTCATTTTGTGTTTGTTTTTGTTCATTGTATTTCTCAACATATTTTTTTCTATTTCAGCTAAGTTATTGAATTTATTGGCACAATGTTAATCCTAGGATTCATAGTGTTAATTTTTCTCTTTTCCTGTCTCTTTTCTGGCAGTCTAGATAACGGTTTATAATTTTTAATAACCTTTCAAAGAAGCATCTTTTGGCATTGTTGACCTCTGAGCCCAGATCTCAGCTACAGATAGGCTCTTTCATGACCAAAGTGTGGGGGGAGGCTGAGGGGGTGGGTGTGCCTTCTGACTCTGGTACCTGAACTCTGAGAAAGCCGTTTGAGTTTTCCTGATGATTCGATCCTCTATCAGGAACAGTGACTGAAATGCTAATATGCTTCCCCTTCCCCTAACCAGTGTGGACATGGATCATAGTGGTGCTCTTTTGAAGACCCAGAATTCTTCTCAACAGGTGGCTGGGGAGGTCATTATGAGCAGTCACAATTGTTGTTGTGTGTCGTGGAGTCGGTCCTGTTTGCTACCCACAAGTAGATCATGTCTAATGAATGGCCTTTTTGTCTCTAATTCATTGTTCAAGATTCATTTCCACTGGAGTAGAATAAGTTCAGCAGGTAAAAACTACTAATAAAGCAGGTGAGACATCACGAGAAAGAGATGAGAAGTTAAAAGGAAGTCCGGGGAGGCTAGCAAAGCAGCTACTTCTTGACAGCTGTGCTGTTTGCTTTCAGCCCCGGGCAGACAGATCAGCTGAGGGCTAAGCTTGTTTGTCTCTGAAGCTGGGCATGTGTCCAGCTCAGTGGAGACGTGGCCATCAGGTGCTGTTACCCAGGCACACCTGTCTCCTAGAGCACAAACAAAGAAGCTCTCTGCAGATTTCCTTAGGGTACATCGTCCACGACAAGTCACCATGCCCTGGAATGCAGGACTGACCCTGGATACTTCATGCCCTGGTTTAATTGTGTGTGCATCACCAGCCCTCAGCTGCCTCCTACGCAGGCAACAGCTTTAGAGTGGTGGGATGTGTGTCCCAGGAGACCCAGAGCAGTCTCTCTGACCGAACATCCTACCAAAAAGACGCAATGGTTCTAACTTCTTAGAAACAAAATTGTAGAATTACTTCACCAAAACTATCAAACAGAAGGATAAGGAAGGACGGACAGATGGGCTGGTGGATTGAGATTGAGGTTGTCGATGTTGTGTATGGTGTTGCTAGTATTTTCAAAATGCTGCATGCCATTTCACATTTCCTGTGTGTTTTTCCCAAGTCTGAAGTAAGAACACCTCTTTATTACGACTGTGCTTTTCCATGCCAAGGTCTTTAAGGAGGAGAAGTACTTGAAGGACGCCATGGAGTGCAGCGATGTGATCTGGCAACGAGGCTTACTGCGGAAGGGCTACGGCATCTGCCACGGGACCGCCGGGAATGGCTACTCCTTTCTGTCTCTCTACCACCTCACACAGGACAAAAAGTACCTCTACAGAGCTTGCAAGGTAAGCAGATCTCTAGCCGAGTGATGGCTGAGTGTCACAAGGTCCAACTGTGGAGATCTTCCTTTTAGCCTATGTCTCCCAACCCTTCTCTTTCTTCCCGGCCCAGCCTTGTGCCACAGTGTCCTTGCTGTAACACGAGGAGAGCAGCAGTACCTGCCTTATGAGGTCATGGAGGAGAGTAGACGAGTCCTGAGGAACACAGTTCTGAAGTCACTTGTCCTCAATGAGCTGCTTGAACTCTGTCACCTGTCTTAGAACGAACTCTCTCTTCTTAGTTTGCAGAATGGTGTCTAGATTACGGAGCCCACGGCTGCCGCATCCCTGACAGACCCTATTCTCTGTTTGAAGGTAAGAAAGATGATAAAAGCAGAGGTTCAAACACTGCGGCAAGTGAAGTGCTGCTGTGACGTGCTGTCTTGTCCCTTCTGACTCAATGACTGGCCTGGCCCCAACCTCACAATTGTTGTCATGTCTGAGCCCACTGCGGCTGCCTGTGTCCATTCATCTTGGTGGACTTGTCCCCTTCTTCATTGATCTTCCAATCTACCAACCGTGATGTCCTTCTCCAGGGACTGGTCCTGTCTCATAAACATATAAAGCCATGAAAAGAACGCTCGCTAACTCTCGCCACTTCTGAGGAGCGTTCTGGCTGTACTTCTGCCGAGACAGAATTTGTTTGTTCTTTTGGCAATCTATGGTATTTTCAGTATTCTCTGCCAGCACTCTAAATGTAAATGTATTGCTACTTCTGCAGTCTTCATTATTACTGCCCAACTTTCACATGCATATGGAGCAATTGAAAATACTATGGCTTTAGTCAGGCACAATCTAGTCCTCAGAGTGGAATCTTTGTGTTTTATCACTTTAAAGAGGCCTTCTGCAGTACATCATTGGATTTCTTGACTGCTGGCTTCCGTGAACAGTGATTGTGGATCCTAGCAAGATGCAGTCTTTGACAATTTCAGTATTCTCTCTGTTTATCATATTATTTATTGATCTAGTTTTGAGGATTTTTGCTTTCTTTACATTGAGGTACTATCCATAGTGAAGACTGTAGTCTTTGGTCTTCATCAGTAAGTATTCCAAATCTTCTTTGCTTCTGGTAAGTAAGGTTGTATTATGTACATATCATATATTGTTAATGAGTCTTCCTCCAGTCCTGATGGCACATTCGTCCTCATCTAATCCAGCTTTTCAGATTATTTGTTCAACAAACAATGAGTATGGTGACAGAATACAACCTGTGAACAAACACCTCTACTGATTTTAAACCATTCAGTATCCCTGTTGTGTTGCAGTGACTGCCTCTGGGTCTATGGCCACCTTGTGAGCACAATTACGCATCTGAAAGAACCCATTCTTTGCAAAGTTATCCATAGTGTGTTATGATCCACACAGTGAATGCCTGCGCATAGTCGATAAATTACAAGTGAGCATCTTTCTAGTATTCTCTACTTTGAGCCAAGATCCAGCTGACATCTCCCTCTTTCCATGTCCTTTTCTGAATCTGCCCTGAATTTTTGGCAGCTCCCTGGCAATATACTACTGCTCCAACTTCTTATTCCTTTCTGTTGGGTCACCTTTCTTTTGAATAGGCACAAATTTGGATCTCTTTGAATCGTAGGTCAGATAACTGTCTGTCAGCTTTCTTGGTAAGTGCCTCCAGTGCTGCACCCATTTGTTGAAACATTTCAATTTGTATTCCATCAATTCCTGGAGCCCTGTTTTTCTCCAGTGTCTTCAATGCAGCTTGAACTTATTCCTTCAATACCATTGGTTCTTAATTATATGGTGTTTCTTGAGATAATTGAACATTGACCAATTCTTTTTTGTACGGTGACTCTGTGTATTCCTTCTATCTTCTTTTGATGTTTCCTGCATCATTTCAATATTTTGTCATTAGAATCCTTCAGCAACCCAAGGCTTGAGTTTTTTCTGCATTTCTTTCAGCTTGAAAACTGCTTCGTGTTCTTTCATTATGATTTTCTAACTCCATCTCTTTACCTTTTCATTATACTTGACTTGATCTTCTGTTCAGTTCTTTGCTTCATTTCTTCTTGTTGCTTTAGCTTCTTTACTCTCAAGCTCTAATTCCAGAGTCTCTTCTGACAGCCATTTTGGTCTTTTCTTTCTTTTTAATGATCTTTTGCTTTATGTGTCATATTCTTGATGTCATCCCACAACTCTTCTGGTCATTGATCATTAGTGTCTAATGCAACAAATCTGTTCTTGAGATGGTATCTAAATGCAGGTGGTGTATAAATATACAAAGTCATATTTTTGCTCTCGCGGACTTGTTGTCATTTTCTTCAGCACCAAGCAAGTTGGTCTTTTCCACAGTTGGCCCCTCACCTTGTTTAGACTGATGAGATTTAGCTACTCCATCATCTATTCCCACAGATATAGTCTGTTTGATTCCTGTGTATTCTATCTGATGAGGTCCACGTGTATAATTACCATTTATGTTGTTGAAATAGGTACTTACAATGGAGAAGTTGTTGGCCTTGTGAAATTCTAACATTGAATCTCCACTATCATTCATATCGCCAAGACCGCATTTTCAACTACTGATCCTTCCTCTTTGTGTCTAACTTTCACTAGTAATTATCAGTGCACCTTGATTACATGCTTGATTAATTTCAAGCTGAAGAAATTGGTTGGTAGAATTCTTCAATTTCATCATCATTGGCTTTAGTAGTTCATGCATAAATTTGAATAATAGTCATAATAACTGGTCTTCCTTGTAGACATAGACATACATATATTATCCTATCACAGACAGCATTATACTACAAGACAGATCTTGAAATGCTCTTTTTGACGATGAATGTGATGCCATTCCTCTTCAATTTGTCATTCCTGGCATAGTAAACCATATCTGATTCAAAATGGCCAATACCAGTCCATTTCAGCTCATGAATGTCTTAGGTGTCAGTCTCTATGTGTTCCGTTTCATTTTTGATGACTTCCAGTTTTACTAGGTTCTTACTTTGTACATCCGCATTCTGATTATTAACGGATGTTTCCAGCTATTTCTTCTCATTTTGAGATGAGTCTGTGGGCTAGCACTGTTAGATGTGTTCATTCTTATGTAATATCTCCAAAGCTAAAAAATAATAGTTGGCAAATTAATTTATAGCTAAAAATTATCTTGAATCTTTATACCCTTCCTAATTTTTACACCTGTGAACATTTCCCAAGTAGTTTTAGACTTTTTATGAAGCATATATGTAGATAGGACAGAAAGTCCTTATTCGATAATGGAAGAAATTAATTTATTCCTCTGCATTTCCTCTATAATAGTGTATATGTAATATTTGATATATTCATAGGGAGTCTGAATAGTGATGTAAGTTTAAATCATACAAAGAAGTCTGAATAACATTAGCAGTAAAGAAGTATTAGAAATTAGAAAAATAATGAAGAATACTGAAGAAAGTTATGAAAAAGGAAAACAATAGGAGGAAATAGATCAAAGCAACAATGATTAAAGAGTCTGCTGCAGGCACAGAAAGTAAAACATAACTCAGGCAAACAAAATAGAAATCCTGCGAGGAAACCCAAATCTATGAGAATACAGCAAAAAGTATTACTAAAAATGAATAAAAAACACAAATGTCAATATGTGAAGTCATTGTTTCTCAATATGTTCTCTAACTCCATCAGTATACTTAGAAAGCAATGTTTTCATCTTTCTAACCCTTCACCAAGGAATTCTTTGCTCTTCAGTTTACACCACATCAAAACAGCAGTTTTAGCATCCTTGAAGGACTTAAATAATGTTTCTTCTCAACTTTGAGTTTTGGGAATAAAAGGAATTCTGAAGGAGCAAGCTCCAGGCTGTAGGGTGTATGAGGTTGTCCTGTGACAATGAAATTCTCATAGGACAGCCCTTGCTACCCTCAAAGAATGAGCAGGTGCATAATTTTGATGGAAAACCGTTCCTCAGTGTGTCTTTCCTGGCTATTTTCTCATCAGTGCAAGTTTTAATTTTCTTTGCACTTCTTTATAAAAAGCCCCCGTGATTGTCCTGTGTCCAAAAACCAACAGCCATAACTTTCTGAGCTGACCTGTCTGCTTTGTCCATCTTTGAGGTCTTTTCAACTTTAAAACACTCGATCTATCTGAAAACTGTTGCTTCATGTGGGGCAGCATTTTCATATACAAAACTTCAGTGATTTGGGAAGTTGTCCATTTGAGTTTTGTTAAACATTTGATACTAACCCCGACCTCAGAATTTCAGAACTAATTTTTTCCATGGCACAGAAAGTGTCTTTTTTTCTTTTTCTTTTTCATGAACATCTAACTACAGGGTGGCTATGAGTCGGAAATGACTCGATGATGGTTAACAACAACAACAAGGCTAAAAGGAGCCCCTGGTAGTGCAGTGGGGTAAGCATTGGGCTGCTAACCACAAGGTAAGCGGTTCAAACCCACGAACTGCTTTACTGAAGTCAGTTGATACTGTCTACTGCCGTAAAGATGTACCACCATGGAAACCCTAAGGCACATTCTGCTCTGTCTTATTGACTGTCGCTATGGGCTGAAATTGACTCAGTGACAGTGGGTTAATAGGACTCTTGTTGTTGTTGTTGTTGTAACTAAGTGCTGTTGAGTCAGTTCTGACTCATGAAGACCCTGTATAGGGTTTCCAAGGAGCACCTGGTGGATTTGAACTGCTGACCTCGTGGTTTGCAGTCCAGTGCTGATCCTATAGTGCTACACTAAGACATGTATATTATTGAGAGAAGTTGTCTTCAGCCATCTGCTGACTGCAGAGACGTATTTAAACATGTTTTGTTTGGAATAAATGCAAACCAAAATTCAACATGAAGTTTAAGTTCATGCGTGTATGAATTGGAACCCTAGTAGCAATATTTTTTTACTTACTTACATATATGTACGTATATGTGTGCATATGAATTAGATATCATTTATAACATAAGCCACAAAGCTCATAGGCAAAGATTGAACAATATTGTGATAAATTGGTAAGAATTTTAGTACTGTAGTTGTTGTTGTTATTGTGTGCCGTGGAGTCGGTTCCAACTCATAGCGACCCTGTACAAGGTTTCCGAGGCTGCAAATCTTTACAGGAGCAGAAAGCCTCAACTTTCTCCTGCGGAACAGCTGGTAGTTTCAAACTGCTGACACTGAGGTTCACAGCCTGATTTGTAGCCGCTACACTATCAGAGCTCCTTAGTACTCTAGAGCCGTATCTTATTCCAATCCCAAGACAAATTTCAGAAGGTATAAATGATTAATTTGTTTAAATCATATAATAGATGACAACTGCATTTTTTCAAATCCTCTTTCTATATCAATTGATAAAATCAGGTCTTTTTTCTTCTTTTGTCTGTTAATATTGCGGGTTGCATTAATTTAATTTTTTATTAATATCGAGCCATCCTTGCATTTCTGGAGTAAATCGCAGTTGGTCATGGTGTACCATTCCTATACATTGCAGAATTATACTTGCAAATATTTTGTAAATTTTCTTCTTTTTCATATTTTTCATGAGACCCCTTTTTGTATTGTCTGTATCTGGTTTTGGTATCAGCATAATACTGGCCTGTATTGATAAGTACCCTTTACACCCGCTGTCTTCTGGAATAGGTCACATATTAATTGGTGGATGAATAGGTGTGACTTCTCATGTAATTGTTTGTTGAAGTACTCTAGTGAAACCTTGTGGGCCTGAAGCTTTGATTTTGGAGAGTTTTAAGTGATAAATTCTGAGCCCTGGTAGTGAACATAGTAGGTTACATCGTAAGATAAGAAGTTCGACTCCACCAGCCGCTCTGCGGGAGAAAGATGAGACTTTCTACTCCCGTAAAGCTTTACAGCCCCGGAAACCCTGATCAGGGTCGCTATGGGTCAGAACCGACTCCATGGCACATCACCACCACCTCCAGCATGTCTTTAATAGTCAGTCCTATTCAGGTTATCTGCTATACGGTGGGGGAGAGGTGGTGGTTTCTAATTTTTGAACAATTGGTCCATTCCTCCTGTGATGTCAAATTTATGTTTGCAAAGCTGTAGTATTTCTTTTTACCCTGATGTCTGATGGTCTTGTAGTGGCACGTCTTATTTTATTTCTAATGCTGGTAATTTTAAAATCGAATGATAGAGAAATAAGCAGAAAATAGGACATTTGTCAGATCTTTTGAGTAATATAGTCTTTTTACTATTCAAACAAATCATATAGGAAAAAGTATTTCTTAGAATAAAATGATTAGTCTCCAAGGCCATAAAATAGAGCCATAAAGTTTCTAGTCGGACAGCCATTGACATGCATCAGTCTCACAGACTCAGAGTCTGAAGTCTCACATGGAACTCATTTAAGTTTATAGCAGCAACCTCAAAGCCTCTTCACATGTTTAGAATCTCCAACTCCCTAAGGGGTGGGAACTTAACAGATCCTCTTCCCCTGTGCCTTCAGAGAAGCTGGCAGGCAGACTGAGCAGCAGGTGCTAACTGAATTCCTGTTGGGTGGGCAGAGGAAGGCTGATGCTGACTGAGCACCTAGTGTGGTAGCCCCCTCTGGAAGGGCCTTGAGACTTGTGGTCCCTCACTTACTCCTCAGCAAGGACCTGCCCTACCATAGCAAGAGGACAAGGGCCTTTTCTGCTCGGCCACATGGTCTAGGGCCCCTCCTGAAGGTATTTGGGGTTCGCCCCTCCCATAGAAGGTTCTAATAGTTTAGTAGTTTCTAGACTTTTTACTAGTAGAGCCCTTTCTATAGAAACTTAAGGAAGGCTGGGAACCGAGGACCTTCAGAGAGGGGCAAACAAACTACGATCTACTTCTCAATCATAAAAAGGAGCTAGCTAGCAATCCGCAAAACACCAGCGCATCTCAAACACATTGTCTGAGCAAAAGAAGGCAGTACAAAAGGCTATATACTGCGTGATCCTTCTTACAGGGGAAGTTCAGACGCTGGGAAGGAAGCAGTGATAGAATAAAATAGAAACAGTTGTTGCCACTGGAGATGAGGAGGCGGGATTGACTGGACCGGGGCACAGAGGATGAAGTGCCCTGTGTATGGTAGGGGTTTGCTCTGGTAGCATAGTGGTTATGAATCGGGCTGTGAACCTCAACGTCAGTGGTTCAAAACTACCATCTGCTCTGCGGGAAGAAGATGAGGCTTTCTGTTCCCGTAAAGATTTATAGCCTCAGAAACCCTATTCAGAGTCACTGTGGGAAGGAACCGACTCGACAACACTTAACAACACAACACTTGAAGTAATGTTCACATTGGTGTATTTCATCACATGTCAATTTTACATAAAAAAAACTTAAAGGAAAACACTGTAAGAAAGAATCCTTCTGATTTAAGAAGGGCTGTGAAGCCAAGAGCCCGGTCACCGGTCTTGGCCTCACTCTACAGCACGCCTTTTGAGTCAAGTTTAAAACCATGACTTGATTACTACCGGAATTTGAGGTGGGACTTTACCCAAAGGCAATACGGTTTCCAAGAAAATCATGGTCTTTGAGCCTAAAGAATGTATAAAAGGCAACTTTTTGTTTGGAATAAGAATATAAAGGCACTGAAGAAGGGAAATTCTATATTCTCAAATATTAACACCCATAACTTTTTTTGTTAAAGATTCCTTAAGAATCATTTTAAAGCCCAAAAGCCAAGTTTAAAGAGGTTGTTTTTTTAAAAAAAAATAAATAAAAAACACCACAGTGTTTAAAACTAATGTCATTATTTATTGGGTGCTAGCACAGGAAATTTCTAAGGTGGAAAGGGATTGTTTAATAAAGTTGTTTCATAGGTCATAGCCCCTTCACTGATAAGGGGAGCTTTAGAAGTCACCCTACAGACCCCACTCTGGCACCTGGTGACAGGATCTCTGTTTGGCATTGCAGGCATGGCTGGTGCCATCCACTTCCTCTCCGACGTCATGGGACCAGAGACATCACAGTTCCCAGCGTTTGAACTTGGCTCTCCACAGAGGGATGAAAAAGTGCAAAAAGACGACTGAACTATCCATTGTGGACCAAAAATCAAGCACAGATTGCTTAGTACCTGACACAGACCAACTGTGAATCCTGAAAGAGGAAAAAACACAGCAGCAAAGCAAACACCTTGCCAGCCCCTTTTGTTCCCAGATGCTGAAGAAACCATCTGTCAACAGGTTGTAATGGTGTTTGCCTCTGGTGTAAAATACGAATTCTTCACATCCAGACTCTCAGTAGCATTTGCATGTTTCCTGGTGTTGTCTGTGAGCATAAGTTGTTCTACCCAGAAAGCCCTTCTCTTCCTGTGAGTCTGGAGTCCACCATGCATGCATGAGTGTCCATGTTGGCTGATCTTCAGTGTATAACATAGAAACAGGGAGCAGTTTCGTTCTGTGGGGTAGATTATTAAGGTGATACCCTTGGGATCGTATGCTGTCAGCATTTTTCATGGGCAGCACTCTAAAAACAGAGAAGAAAGCCACCAGATAAGAGGAGCTTCACCTTAGTGTTGTTAAGAACCCATGGGGGACACATTACAGTTTGATGAGGGCTCCCCAGTTTCAGCAGAAGTTTCCGGCACTTAGTGTAAATCTCAAAAGACTGGTTTGCAGTGGAAGGCAGGTAGCATGCTGGCAAATGGAGTTTTTGAAGTCAAGAGAAACATTCAAGGGAAAGTGTGTAAATGACCTCCTTAAAAACCAGTAGTCACAAGTTGGCAGTTGTAGAGCATTTCCCAGGAAAGTGTAATTAAAGCAGACACAACCTCAGTTATCCACATCACAACAGATTGCTACGGAACAAAGGGAACAGTTTCAGGTGACTGCTAAACAGAGGCACGAACCCAGGTTCCTGCAAATAACCTACCAGATTCATGAAGTAACTGTCAAAGTATGAATTTGAGAATGAATACTGTTATTTTTTTATCCCATTTGGGTGATAAAATCTTAGATTTGATGAACATGCATTAGCATAAGAGCCCTATTCTGCATTTATGTGTATGGGAAACATAACGTTCTAATCAAGAAAATGGCGGTATTACCGGTTCCACATTTTTTATTCAAACGTTAGGCTATCCATTTGGATCAGCATGCCCTCAGTGATTCTGCTGTGAACATTTCAGTGTTTAGAAGGGTTGTGGTCATCATGGTACCTACCACCCAAGTGATCTGGGACCTTTAGGAAGTCCTCACCTTCCAAGCTCAAGACAAGATGGCTAGTCCTTGCCTGCAGGGGACTGTCTTAACATTTATCTACCCTAACTTCTTCTTTCTTCATAAAGGGGAAATAAGAATATCAATTCAGAAGAAAGCTGCCCTTTATGCCTTCTGCGGTTCTTAGAGTGTGGAAGCTCCTTATTTGTGGGGCCAACACCTGAAACATGTGACGTGGACTCTCTACTGGTGCCTCCCTTCATTGTAGGCCTCCTTCTCAAAGCCCAGGTAGCCTCTTTCAAGTTAGGTTGCTGACTTCTGGGAGTACACGTCCTTGTGATGGTATTGAAGTGAACTCCTGGGCCTGCTTCATAAAGGGCTCAGCGGGGCAGTTACGGCACCCCATCCTGAGCACTGGCTGTCAGGAATGAGCTGAGGGGAATTGTTTGCAGAAGACCCCACACAGTATAAAAAAACTCACCTCATCCATAAAACACTATTTCCATTACAGACAGCCCAAAACAGCAACAGATGACAGCTTACTGATGAGGTCCTACTTACCTCATTAACAGCAAACATTATGGCTTTGGCTGAAAACTGTCAGAGCCACCCCATTTCTCAGTGGGATCCACATGAATTCACTGTGGGTCCCCCCAAAACAGTCTTTCCGCTGGGAGGCAGTGTCTCGTGGCCAATGGCTCATGGGAGCCGGATTCTGGTTAAGCAGGTGACATTCAGCTGTGTTGGCCTCTAGCCAGGTGTGTCCTACCATGGGTGTGTTTGAGAACCACTTACTAGGCCTCCCGACCATGCTGAGGTAATGATCAAGTGCTTGTGGAGTAAGTGACCCACAGAAGGCCAGCTCTCCGTTAATGGAGGAGAGTTTATTTACAGAGGTTTGTGAACAGCATCCTGGGTTACCACCTCCCTACTCATCCAGTCGATGTTAACCGATGTGCAGTTCTTCAGTTCCTCATTAGCCTATTCCTCAACGTCTGTCGCCTGGACTGCTGCTGGACTCAAAGCTCTTCGTCTCTGGAGGCAGGGGAGAAACAGCAGGCCTTCAAAGGACAGAGGACTTCCAAGAATTCAGTGTACTAGTGATGAGTGTTTGAATTCAGGTTTGGAAACATCTCGCCTTCATTTCTTGGAGTTGCTTGTGTCCACAAATATGTACACGAACAATATCATTTTAACATTTGAAGGAAAAATACAAGTTGATGTCCACAAAATGTGTTTGGGGTTCTTTGGTTTGTTAGTAAAAGATAGTTTTGTGGTGATAACTCCTTGGATCTTCATTTATTCTCACTTCTCTGCATTTGAGAGTGGCCTGGTCATAAGGGTTGGTCACCACTCTTCTGGAGATTTCATTGTATGCTTCACTCACAGCTGTGGCTGTTGTACTAGGTAGTACTGGAATTACAGCTGAAAGTCTCTTCACATGCATTCTTTTATTATTATTATTCGAATTGAGTCCCTGGGAAACCTGAATTAGGATTTTTTTTAAAGTTACCATTGAGTTGAATCAAGTAAAAATGTCAGTGTGTGACAGAAATGAAAAGTAAAGAGTTATTGAGAGCACTGGTAAAGGAGTAAGTGGGTTACTAGCTGGACTGCTGACCACCAGACGCTCCACAGGAGAAAGATGAGGCTTTCTGCTCCCGTTAAGATTTACCGCCTCGGAAGCTTTATTCAGGGTCTCTGTGAGCCAGAACCGACTGGACAGCCCACTCCGCCCACCATTATTCAGAGTCAAGGAGTTTTCAAATTGGGAATCACAAGATCCAGAGGATTCTCAACTAAGTGACCTGAAGAGGAGATAATTGAGGGAGTTTTTATCCGAAAATATAAGAAACTTGAATAAAAATTCAGTCATTGCTTACATTTAGGTAACAGTTACAGAATTAATTGCATTTGGCCTCAAAACAATCACGAGACCCTCCTTGCATGACCACTGAAAGGACATGCATCGTTCTAAGGTTTATCTTGAGTAAGCCCCTGTTCTAAGAATTATTTTGAGCCCAGTTTTCCTGAATAGGGTGTATTCTTAAGCAAACAAATTCACATTCTTCTCTAAACTTGTTTACCAAGCAGTGTTCTCAGCAGAGAGCCACAGAAGTGACAGGCTGCCTTGCTCAGTGCCGGAAGTTCCTTTTGACAAATGCTCACACAGCTCTGCTCGATTCCACAGCCTCTTGGCTGGAAGACACATCACATCTCAACTCAACGTATCTGCTTACTGCTTTGAACTCTGTATGGCAGCGTCACCTCTAGTGTTTCATTTGCTAAGTTCACAAAAGCCGTGATCGAAGTTTAAGTTCAGGTCTTCTGAAACACTTTACCAAACCACCCGCTCAATCCCAGGCTCCTCACTGCCTCATCCAGGCTCTTCCTCACAAGAGTCTCCCTGGGTTTAGGGTGGAACCACAGGTTGTCTTCAGGAGCCTGTGACCCCTCTAGATTTTATGTGCATATTTAGACAGGCATGTGCATATTTATCTAGAGAAAGGGTACCTAGTTTTATCAGAGTGCCAAAGTGGCCTATTACCAAAAAGGACGATGTGTCAAGCCATAAGGTAACCCATGAACACTGACTGCAAGCTGAGCACCACATTTGGGAGCAGGCATATCAGGTTCAGAAGGTACCAGATTCGCTCCAGAAGTTCTCCCCCACCACAGAAGAGCCCCTCCTGCGGATATTAATTTGTCCTTGTCAGTGAGAAGCTCCAGACTGCCAGCCGCCTGAGGCTCTTGGCTGCTTCTTGGTACACAGCTGTCAGAGTGGGAGGAAGTAGGGAACGAGTGGGTATTCAGACTACGGTTGTCAGTGTGAGCTGGCCTGTTAGCCCTCTGCTGTTTCCACTCATAGACTGCAGATTGGAACAAGGTTGGAGTTTGTTCCTGTGGCTCTGTAGGATAACTACTGGACTACTAACCATGAGGTTGTTGGTTTGAGCCCACTAGCTGCTCCCCAGGAGAAAGATGAGGTTGTCTGCACCAGTCAAGATTTACAGCCTTGGAATCCCTATACAGGGTCTCTGTGAGTAGGAACCGACTCAACAGCACTTAACAGTATAGAGGTTTTCAATCATAGTCATATAGCCTTCAGGTGGGATCACAAACCATCTCTGGTCAATGTTTAAACAGTTTTAACCAGGTGTCTCAGGAATTTTTGAAAATCATCATGATATGAGAACTTCATTTCCTTGAAACAGTTTGTTAAAGAAAAACTTAAGTTATCTGGGTAACTTTAGAGAAGGCCGGCTCCAAGAGCATTTCAAACAGTTCTCCTTATTGCAGCCCTGTCATGAAGAAGCATTTCTGGGGCCGACTTTATACAAAATACAGCCTTGTCAAGATTCTCTTCCTTGAAGTGTATTTCTTTGACACCTTGGCTTGACCATAGGGAGGAATTACTTTTTAGGTTTTATGGCTTTTAGCAATTAACATGCCCAGGTAACAGGAACTTGTGAGAGGTTTATGTTGATGGTTCAAATAAACAAACAGGCTGGCAGGAAGGCCAATAAAAGACCAGTATAATTTAGCAAGAACTGAGTTTAGTTTAATCATTTAGTTTTGCTCAAAAAGACTTCATGAATTTCTCCTTCACAAATGGATCCCCTAAAGAATATTTGAGATTTCATAGGGTTAGTGTAAGCTCAGGCTCTAAGTTTCCTAACTTGCAGTTACCTGGGCCCTGTAATTTGAGACTGAGTTGGTCTTAGATATGAGCTGAGACAAATGCTGGTTCTAAGAGAAGTGCTGTATTCCTGTCAGTTCTTTGACTACCTTTTTTTTAACAGAACAGAAACAAGTCACTTCTATATCCCAGCACTGGAACACGCTGCTGCTGTTGTTAATTTCCATCGAGT